CGCTGGAGAGGATAAAATAATTACACGTCGTCCCTCCCCCCCCTCTCTCTCTTTCTCTCTCCCTTTTCTCCGCCTCCTTTCTTCCTTTCTTTCTTTCCTTCCTTCCTTCTCCAAATGGATCCCGTACGCGTGAATCTCGTGGAAAAAAAAAAAAGAAAGTTTCGGGGGACGCGTGTCGGGGACGTTGCTAGTTTCGCGAGAGAAACGGGTGTTCGGAGAAGGGAATTGCGGTTTATGCATGCGGTCGGTTCGAAGGAGGGAGGGAGGAGAGGGTTGATTGCGGTGAATAGGATGGAAACGGGGGGAGGGAGGTTTTAGAAGTCTCGATCGATCGAGTTTGATCGAGAGATGAATAGAATTAAATAGAGAAACGAAGGATTTTTGAAAAAGGAATAGGAAGATTGGTTAAGATTGGTTAAAGGGACGTGATTAGGGCGAACGCGAAAATGCCATTTAGATTATATTTTTCTCTTTTATTTTAGCGGAGCGTACGATAACACCCTTCACAAAAGGGTCGACGGGCTATAACGGGCCGTTATTATGCCGCGTTGCATAATTTAATTCCTCCACCCGATGATAAATATATACCGTGGCCATTGATTGTTACCTGTCTCGTATCTCCTATCGCGAAAATTATCGCGTTCCTCTCCTGCGGAGTAATCGCAGGTGTACGCAACAAGGGTGCAATGAATGATACGCGTGAAAGTGAACGACTCCTGTAGGAAAACGTAGGTTTAACGTGAAAATGACTCTTTTGGAGGGGGAGGCGGAAGAATATTCGCGTGTCGCATGAATATATTCGCGATCCGTTTACAGCTCCACCCCTCTTTATTGCTACCGAAATATTTACGTAAGCGTCGTGACGTAATAGCTTATTTATAAAAACTTGATATTCCTTTTCAAGGGATAAAGATCCCAGAAATAATTTATCTTTCGTCAAATATTTTTTCTTCAAAAAAATCTTTCAATGCTCCATCTTATTATTATTATTATTATTATTCTTTTCCGATTATAATAAATTTTCCAATATCGCAGAACAATTCGATTAATACAATTCATATCGAAGATACGATCATCAAAATCTTTACAATATTCCTCATTATTATTAAAAGCTTCGTGTCCACGTTGCTGTTATATATACTTCGTACACTTGACACCATCCAATCTTCCATTCCCCGTGAAAAATAGTCTCACGGGTGTGTAATACGCGAGTACATTCGAGTGGCGGGGAGCAGGAAATCGAAACGAGATAAAATACAATTTATCGAGGCGCGTAACTGAGACATAAAGCGGCTCGTACAAGCGGTGGGCAGATTCATTGGACAAGTTGGCCTAACGGCGCCCCATGCTGTTTCCACAAATGGCGGTCTGCGCCAGTAAACATCGGCGTTCGACTCACGACTTCCTGTTATGAGCATACTCCCGTACAGGTGGATAGAAAATATACCGATGGGGGCATTCGGTGACGAAATAAACGACGTTGGTCGGAAACCTGTACACCTTCGCGTAAGGGAAGAGAGAGAGAGATTCCTTCGGATGATGCGAAGGTAATCCACAACGAATTCGCGCGACGTATACGTTCCTCCTTCATCCGTTGGCAAATTGAAATTCGATGTTGGATAATTATCGTTCAAGGAACGGTTCTAATTTATCCCAGCGTTTCGAATTTTCACGAAGATAATATTTTATTCGAATTACGTTTAACGAGGTATTTATTAGTCGGGCTCGAGTGGTTTGAATGTTTGATAGGCGGAGTTACGACGATGCGAGTGGAAAGTCGGAGGGGAATCGGAACCGGGACAATCCTCTGTCGCGATTTCCCTGAAATACGTGCAATTAATATCTCGAACGGATTTGCGTTTCCCCCGTAAAATTGTAAAGTTACCTCGGGAAAGAATGCGACCTTATCTTTCCGCCAAATTCCGTTCAATTCAGATTTCGCCCCGTCGTTTTCCACGCTGTTCGACGGCTCCACGTTCGACGATGGATCTCTTTCGTTCGGAAATATCACTTCGCTACTCATTTTATCGTATCCCGGAATTCCCTTCTTTTTCAAGTATTCTTGGTAACTCGTAGCTGGAAACTGAACCGTATCCCGGATTACCGGTTCTTCCGCGCTTTCAATGGGAATGTACTTCCTCGAGTTTCCTCCTACTATTCTCCCCTTCACGTCGATCTTCGAGTAATCGTCGACTGTATATAAATTAATGGAAAAAAAAGAAAAGAAATTAAATCACATTTCCAAACTTCGACTTACCTGATCGATTACAATTTTCCTCTTCTTACCTCTCTGACCGACGATTCCATTCGACTCCCTGTATTTTCCACCACGAATCCTATTGAAAAGCCTGAAGAATCCTCCGTTGTAATTATTCAAGTAATGAACCAACCCGTTCATATCCCTCGGGCACTTTGGGAACGCTTGATAGCACGGTTCAGAACTTCCTCGATTGCTGTATCCAAGGATCATGGCTCTTCCAAAGTTCAACAATGGAGACGTACCACCGACGTCGATTTTCGCCAACCAACTGAAAAAAAAAAAAAAAGAAAAGAAAAGAAAAGAAAACGTCGAAGCAGGATTTGTTTACTTTTCCTCCGAAGGGAGGAGAAAATTCGACGCTCGGTCGTTAAAAACGCGAGGAAAACGTACTCGGTGAAGAAGATTCGGCCGAGGAACTCGAGGAAACCGGATCCCCGTTTGCCTAACGATCGTCCAGGAAGTTTTCCGCTCGCCATCTCGCACAGTATCCTTGCCACGCACTTGTAGTCGTCGTGGCGGGATATCGTGGACAGAGCTTCAGTCAGGAAATTCAGTTGAAATCCCGCGGAAAGAGCGGCCATTCCGCTCGGATAATTCAATTGCTGATAGCCGGAAGTCGAGTGAGTTGGAAGAGGGCCGCTCTGATGCGACTGCAAGCAGAAAAGTTTGCGGAATTTTCGGCGTGGATGGAGATTTTTATCTGTTAGTCCTCTCTTTTCTTTTTTTTTTTTTTTTTTTTTGGTAGTTTTACGCGTGAATATTCGAATATATCGAAGTTAAACGAAGGAATTTTTTCGTTTCTAAACGAAAAAATTATCGAAATGGTTTTAGCGAAAATTTGGATTTCTCTGGGATTGTTAATGGGTAATTGGTAGTGTTTCATAAAACCTTTGGTGAAAAAAATTATAATTGGTAATACGTTACGTTCTTTACGAGTGGTAATTAGAGGATCCATTCCTTGCACACGTTGGATATTAAATTTCCATGGGGGTAATTTATTAATAATTTAAGAACGTGCCGACTAATAAACTCGCGCGATGTCTTTTACGATCCCCGCTCGATTGCCGCATTATTTATCTTTCGATTCTCTAATAAAACAATTCTCACGACGATTTTATACTCGAGATATTATTCGAATTCGAATTAAGGATATTTATATATGGAGTAAGAAGTTCAATTGGCAACGTACGTACCGTGGCAGGTATATCGAAAATATTCGAGAAAACGTCGACGAAAGAGATTCGTCTGCCCGTGGACCCATTCCGTTGACCATTTCCATTCGTAGCACTCGCGCTTTCCTTGTCCACGAGATCGATTGCCAATTCATCGATACACCTACGCGATCAACGATGCTCTCTTTCTCACACTTCTTTCTCGTTTATCGTTATTTCGAATACTTACTGCAACAAATCCGACGCGCTATGATTGTTTCGCGTTTCGTCGAAGTTGCAGTAAACAGATCCGTCCGTTTTCCGACGAATCCTTCGACGATCCTCACCAACGATTCCAGAACAAAGAAGAAGGAGTATAAAAATAGATCCGAACTTGAGCTCGTCACTTTTCATCTTTCAAAATTCTGGTTTTCAATTTCTTTTATTCTATTTTTTTTACAATCTATTTAGAAAAATCTCTATTTCAAAACGATCTACTGCCCATCTCGAGTTTAATTTTAATTTTCACGATTTTTACCAAATCAATGGATTTCAGAAAAAGAATAAATGGAGAATAAACAACGTAAATTGTAATTTCTTTCGAAGCGGTTAACTGCTTTGTCGCTGAAATGTCGGTAAAATATAACCGGTGTTTCGCTTCGCGGATGATCGTGTCACAGTTCCACGGCAACTGAAACTTTCTTCGAAACCTCGTTCCTCCGTACATCGTACACAAGCACAGCACAGGCGTAGGTAGAAGAAGAAACGTCATCGTGGGCTACTCTCACTTCGCGTGACCGTTTTTCGCGCGCGCCCGAGGATGCTCGCATTCCACGCTTCACCAGAGA